TTGGAAGGGCATTCCTCATTTGAATGAGGCAAAAATATTGTCATCTCACCAAGAATTCCCAACACTAGTCATGACACAGGCCTGGGCATCCCAGCAAGGAACACTCTCCTTAACCTTTTAAAGGAGGTTTGTTGTGACCGAGTTCTTCTTTGTGCTCCATGATGGTGCGAGAAAAGAAGGAAGAAGGATAAGAGATGAAAAAGTAGGGAAAAAAGAAGAGAGAAAGGAGAGCAAATAAAACAGTGATCTGGCTAGCGTGCATTTTTGTGTACTTTTGTGAAAAATATATGTATACTTTTTTGAGATGGAGTCTCGCTCTGTTGCTCAGGCTGGAGTGTAGTGGTACAGTCTCAGCTCACCGCAGCCTCGACCTCCCAGGTTCAAGCAATTCTCCTGCCTCAGCCTCCTGAGTAGCTGGGACCACAGGCGTGTGCCACCATGCCAGGCTAATTTTTGTATTTTAGTAAAGATAGGATTTTACCATGTTGGTCAGGCTGGTCTCGAACTACAGACTTCAAGTGATCCACCCGCCTCAGCCTCCCAAAGTGGTGAGATGACAGGCATGAGCCACCGTGCCCAGTCTTAAAAATATTTTAAAACATCATGTTTCTACAGTGGTTCCTTCTGAGGTGGGAAGAATGTGACAAGACTGGGGAGGTCCACATAGGGGATATCAAATTGATGGTAATTTTAAAATATAGGGGGACAGTTAAAGGAGCGTTCACTGAACCCTCATTTTTTATAATTTACATTTATTTTGTGAATATACGTTTGTATTTTTATTTTACCGTATTTTATTTTATATTTAGTAAAAACGATTTTTGAACACAACTGTGCAAGTTCTACGATGACACAGGTGGTAGGCAATAGAGTGTCATTAGTTAAAAGCACAGGGTCCAAGGTTAAAATGGCACGCACTGGATCCCAGTCCCAGCACTTACTAGCTCTGTGACCTTGGGCAAGCTACTAACCCAGTTACCTTATCTGTAAGGTGGAGATAATAATGACCTATGTAGGTTGACTGTGAGGATTAAGTGATTAGTACCGTGACTGACACATCCTAAATCCTCAGTATGCCAGCCAGCCATTATTATTGTTAAAAGAACAGACTCCCTGCATTGTGACCTTTTTTGAGTGTGTACACTCCCTCCTTATGTTTTTGATCACAAATAAATATGTATTAACAATGATTTATTGAATAAAAGTATCAGCAATCAAGTTCTGCTTTTTTAAGAGACACTCCATATGTCACCAGAAGATGCCCAAATGAATAGGGGAAACAAATCTAATGGTTTATAAGAAAAGTGTGAAGAATCTGAATATCCAGGCACTCTTTCAGGGAAGTCTCATTAATATTAGTGATTTAACTGCTATATATAAGAGAAGACCAAAATTCTGTCTTGGGGTACAGACAAAATCCAACAGTAATTTAAGGTATGAAGATATCTGCCACTCACCTGTAGGTGTACTCAGAGTTCACAAAATGCATTAAGTCTTAATATTTTACATTGACGAAGAACAATCATTATGAACATCCACTTAGCTCTTTTTAAAAGGTTGCAGTGAGCTGAGATCGTGCCACTGCACTCCAGCCCAGGCAACAGTGCAAGACTCCATCTCAAAAAAACAAACAAACAAAAAGCTGTCCCTCAAATAATACAGAAAAAAACATCAAAGAGTAATCAAAAATTAATTTGTTTGAAACCATGGGCCACAACTTATTCAGCATTATTTTTCCCTTCTAGCATAGGACTCTGCACATAGTAGGTTGAGAAAAAATAGAATTAAATTGAATGCAAAATGAGATTAGACAAAAAGATGTTTAAAGACCCTTCTGATTTAAATTTCATGAATGACAAACTGCCTAAATAATCAAACTGTTATTGACTATAGCTGACATTCATAGCTAAACTCCAGAATTCACTGATACATTAATAATGAAATGTATTCCTCTTTCCTTAATTTCAGTTAATGTGAGCATGTTCAATCTACAGCTTTGATTTCAGTGTTTAATTCTATTATCAAAGTATTAAGAATATGCCTCCCTGGTAAGATTTTAGAAACATAAAGAAACTGACAACTTTGGGAAATATATATGTTCTGGAAGAATGAAATTAAGACATTTCTTTTGTGTTTTTTCTTTAATAGTTCCTAATCTCCCTTCAGTGTATTTATTGGGCATTAGTTGTTATCTAACACAACAGTTCTCCTAGCACAATCAACCTTAAAATAGAGAGCTTTTCAGGAGTAAAAAGAGACTGTTACAAAAGAAAAATACTAGAGGGGAATTATCTTTATATCACATAGTAATTTATATCTTAGAAACTTAAAGTTATATCACAGCTGTACAATTAGCCAAAACTGAATATATTTTATGAGATACTGATTACTCACAAGAACAAAGGGAAATCCAATTGAAGGATTAAATTCCTGTCAAAACCAGTCACTCACGTGTCTGCACGTATATCACAAAGTGTTTGCGAATTTGATGCATATTCTAGGCACAAATCCCCTTTCCAGAGAGCAGAAATTCCTAATCTGCCACACTCCAAACCAAAATAGATTCACCAGCATTTTGGATACATAAGAACAGCTCCCCACACCATTAGCAAAGGTTATTTATAAGTGGAAAATCAAGAGACATAAAGATGTCTAAGTGAAAATGCAATGTTGTTTAGTTTTCTGCAGCACCTAACAAAGCAAAAACTTTCAGTTAGAGAGAAAAGCAAAAGCAAGATCATTGCTCCTTCACAGAGACTGGTAAATAAAGAATGTATGCACAAAACACCTGGATTTGCTTTCCTGTTTCCTTGCCAGTAACTTTTTTTATACGATTATCTAACAGTCAAACAAACCTTCAAAGCAATGAATTACGCATAGACACACAGACACACTCTCACACAAAAGAGAGCAAAGCTGATGCTATTTAAATAGCATGAAATATTTTCCTAACCATGCACAGATGGAAGTACAGACGTTTCTGCCAACCGCCTGGTTCAGAAACTTTGCTCTATTTTTAATTATTTGGTTCACAGGACCCATTTGTGATTAACTTCTGTGTTGCACGGCAAAGGAAGTAAAGTTCCTGACCCAAAGCAAAGAACACAGAGAGAAGCTTAATTATTTTGAAACAGCTAGTGTAATATTGTAAACCATGTGCAGAGACAACTAATTTGTCAAAGACCAGTTGATGACTGCTGCAGTTTGAGGCTGTAGGGTATATGAAGAACAGAAAAATCCAAGGGAACTTAGGAAGTGACGCCAAAATGAATCTCTTAATGATAAATAGATTTTCATCTCTGAGAAATAACAATGGAGCAAGAAATAGAGATGAAGAAATTGATAGTGTTGTAAGGCCTAATCTCATTAGCAGAAGTTTCAGTTTTGACCAGGAGCAGTGAATGGAATGCCAGCAGCCTTAAGCACAGGAAATGGACTCAGATGCAAGATGCTGGTCAGGAAACTCAAGCCATAATATTCAGAATCACACACTAGAATTTTAGCTGAGCAAGATGAAATCCCAGAAGAGAAGTAGAAAGAGAAGCGATGGTTCAGCAATAAGACAGAAAAGATGGTCAAGGTATAAAGAATGAACAGGTTGGAACTGTTTGGAACTGTTTTATATTTTTAAGGGCTATGCATTTACAAAACAAAAAAAAAAAAAGTAGTTTCTAAGTAAGAAAACAATAAACCCAAGTAGTAAACTAGTATAAACACAGAAAGAAAGCAAAATAGAAGGCATCCAGTTAAGAATTTTGAAAGCAGAATAGGGCTAAAACCCAACAGAACTTTATTCCTAGAGAAGCTTTCTCTCAATCAATAACCCTAAAAGTTTAAGACATTCTGTATTTAAGTCCTTAATGTACTTGGAAAACCTCAGAGTCTACTGAATCATACGGGCCACGAAGAGCCAAAATATTTCAGGAGTAATAGATGTTGCTAAAAATTACATTTGCAGCGGATCCAGGACCAATGCCAGAATGATCTGGGAATTTAAAAAACAAAACAAAATAATAAACACCTAATTTCTCCTTGAGGAGTGTAGAAATGGAGAATAAAAACAGAACTTCCTTTGCTGGGGTCTCTCAATTCTAAAGCTCAGTTCCTTCAACCGCTAGCACTGGCTATTAGCTTTCAGCTGGGTTGGTTGACATGGCAAGACCCTTAGAAGAGCACATCCATATCTGTGGGTAATTATGGAATTTCAACAATTGGAAGCAACTCAGGGAGCCATCATGAGGACAAGAAAAAAGGTAATCTGTTTCAGAAAGTCCAAAATAAAGTGACTTTATTATATACATATTCATATGCCTCCTCTATTATGCAAATAGGTGAAGTATGTGTATGGGTGTGTGTACTGGCAAAAGACTAGAATTTTAAAAAACCAGGATTTTAAAAAAAGCACATCTATGACTGAATTATTTATAGTTGCAAATGGCTTCATAATACCAACCTAGTATTATTACTGCAGGCACTGGCCCTGGCTTAGAAATGTTATTTCATTTAGAAATGTTTCTATTTGTTGTAACACTAGCCACTGTGATGGGGTTTGACCTGTCTTTGTCCATAAAACAACCCTATAAGATATGTAAACATGAATTCTATTTTCTTTAAGTGAAAGAAAGCAAAAATATGGTTGTCAGAACAAGAACTGCTTTCTGTGGGATATTCTAGTTAAATGAAAGCTATTCAACTTGAATCAATTGCTGTATCCATTCTCCAATACACAGCAGATTTATATTTCAGAAGGTTTTTGACAGAGAACAAAATGTTACTGAAATATCTCTTCCATTCCTTTTGTCCTACATAACATTCCATGGGCTGAACTCCCAACGAGGGGCATATATTTGTCAGCTTCTGTTTGCACTTGTTCTATTCTAGTTTGTCTTTGTTGCAAATTTTCCATTTTGACCCTTTCCTGACAAAACATTAATATATACCTTTTGGTTGTGTTATGACTTGTATTAAAAAAAAAAAAAAAAAACCTGACATTTTTATTCTGTACCACCTTGAAACACCCATAACTTTTTAAAATAAGCTCTGCTATTTAAATCAGTGATCAAATTTTTTTTATATCTGCTTATGTAAACACTCGAAATCCAGGGAGAAAATTCTTCCAATCCAACAATCCACACATTCCTACACAAAACCAATCACTTGAGTATTTAAAAGCTAGATCTGTGGCGAGAGACAGGCTAGAACTAGCACAAACAAGTCTGTGCAAGATGAATTTATCCTCCACTGCCTCTACTCCAGGTCATCCCAGGACTATGCCTGTGAGCTAATGCCAAGATGGAAAAAAATGGATGGGTGCCTTTTTTCTAGTGTATTTGTGTAAAGACTCCCCAAGAGCTCAAGAGGGAGTTGCTGCTCTACAAATGACAAAAGGTGTGTAGCTGCAAGCCAATCAGGCAGAACATTTAACATCGTCCTGGCCATTAATGACTAAGCCTGCGCCAGCTCAAAAGCAGTCGGAAACAGACGTCAGACTATGGGACGGCTAAAACATTGGTTCTCAGGGATGTCGTCCAAGAGGAGGTCTCTGAAGCTGGGTGTCATCCTTTAGGGTGGCCCAGAATAAAATGGTGACACATTATGCCTCCTGGCGAGTTCATAAACACTTTGAACGGCAAAGACACCAAGTCCCGAGGACTTCCAACGAAGATCTTAGGGCAAGAAGAGATGTCCACCAGCACTTTCTGTTCTGTGACCTGTTAGAGAGAAACATTCTTAGCTACTCCATCACCAAGCAAAAGTCCCCGCCAGGCTAGCTCCTTGACTCCTGGGGGAAATGCTGTAAAGAGATTGAGGAGGGCACCTAAGAGAGAGATAGATGGCCTTTGTCTTGTTTGCAGTATCACTAATGAGGTGTCCAGATATAAAATCTGGCTTCCATCGAGTCTAAATGTGAATCAGATTCTAAGTGTTTCTGCAACTAACAATATGGTCACCACCAAACCACTTCTGCAAAGAAAGAAAAGGCTTCATAATAGTTATTGCTTCTGGCACTAAGAGATGGACAGTGTATTTTACTAAAAGATTAGCCACTAGAGTATTGGGGAAGTAACTCATGGTTTTTGCAGATACAAATGTCCAGCACCAGCTGCTTCTTGCCTAGCAGGATAAAGCTGATTCACAGGTAGCTGGAAGAGCTTCTTCTAACCTCTTCTGTAACATCTAGTAGAAAGACGGCAGATAGCTATACAGAGAAATGATCTGATTGTACAATCTTCCCATCCACAAGGACTTCTCAGAGCAGATGACATCAAATTTCAAGATTCCATATACGAGATCAATTTGATTTCCTGATGTTCTTAACCTTGCTGACACGGGTGCATTAAAGGAAATATAGCTCAAAAAGCTCAACTTTAAAGGGGCAGTGGCTGCAAAATGAAAACCATTCTCTGTCTATCCATCAAGTTTAGACTCAGGCACTATAAAAACATCTAATTTTTTTTTTTTTTTTAGAGACAGGGTCTCACTCTGTGGCCCAGGCTGGTCTTGTACTCCTAGCCTCAGGCAATTCCACCACCTTGGCCTCCCAAAGCACTGGGATTAGAGGCATGAGCCACCGGGCCCAGCCTCTAACATCTAAATTTATAACAAAGCACTGTCTCAAGGGATAACTAGGAACTGCACATATCCAAAGGACTGGACTCCTGCATTTCTTCACCATTCCAGCTCCATCTCAACATTGTTCTAGTGGGCTAACTTAATTAAGCAAAGACAAGTCTTTTCATCCTACAACTGTGGAAACGCAAATAATTTCTGGAGTATCTTGGCTGTACAAGGAGATAGAGAAGAAAGCTGAACTACAAGTCAGAAAATCAGGGTTACAGCACAGGCTACATGTATTTCTAACCACTGGAATCCAATTAATCAGTCAACCTCATAGGTTCTGTTTTCTCCCCTAGAAAATGAGGATACTTTTCTACTCAAGGAGTCATTATGACTATCCACTGAAACAATTTATCTGAGGCACTCTGAATTCTGTGATGTGCTATTATCAGCTGAGGTAGACTCATGACACATTAACCACTGCACATGGTCTGGATAACTGTGGTTTTAAAGGCTGTAGTTACTAAATCAGAGGCTCAGACTGCAGAATACCATCAAGGGAAAGGGTAGTTTCGACTAGTCCTACAAGAGAAACAGGAAACATAGGACTTTCCTCCCAGTACACTCTTCAAAGACCCTGGACATTTAAAATGAGAAAGTTTTAAGCACATTTTTCTAAAGGAAGTCTCATTTCTTGAGACTTCAGGGCAAAAAGTGAAATTAAGTACACCATTCAGAGACAGAAACTTTGTGATTCCAGGTCACCGAATGTTCTCTGTACAGCAGGACAGCCAACAACAGTGTTGGGTCATGTCCATATATTAAAAAGCCCTCCCTCCAGGACTTAAAGATGATATGAACTGTGTTATGCAGTTTAGTCTGAGGAAGGCTCACATACTACTGGTAAGACCCACATTTCAAGGTCCTTCTCAGAAAGATGTTTCTTCATTTTAATGTTGTTTATTACTCTCCTAATCACTAGGATGATTGAAATAGCTTTGCAACTCGCTGGGAGAAAAATTAAAGAAAGTAGTCTTCCTCCTTTTGTATCTGTTTACACAGATTGTTAAAATAGCACGGTTCATCTGGATGATGTTGAGATGGAAAAAAATACAACCTGTTCCTTCTGAAGAGTAGAGAAAGGTACAAGGGGTTACAGAAGCTTAAACAGAACAGGAAAGTCAAAATAAAACACCAAAATTTGGGCTTAGATGCTATCACCATATTTCCTTCAAACTCAATAGAAAGCAAAGTCGTATGGAAAGAGATTTTTTAAATAAATAACCATGTCATTTTTTTGTATTCTGTCAATACAATAATAAACTTGTCTTATGGGTCTATGATCATTTACAAAAGAAAAAAAAAATCCAAATCAAACCAAACAAAACTGCTATCTTTTGAAAAGTATCAGATCAGACACCAGAAAGGCAGCAGCTGGGGAACACATTCTTTCCCAGTTCCTTAGACGAAGGCTGTCTCCCAATAAAAGCCACAACTTGGGGTCATACGTCTCTCTAGTCTGGGTTGCAGTGACCCAGGCAGCTCCAGAGGTGAACCGGACACAGAGCCTGGAAAAGGGGAAGAATAATCAAAACAAAATTCATCCAGAGTTCTTTCCGCCTCCACTTGGAACCTGCCAGGGCAGAGCAAGGTTGAAAGGGCCGTCGGGTACTCTCCTCTGGGGGTGCTGCAGCCGTCAAAGGACCCAGGGCTTCAGTTTCTAATGGGAGGCATTTCCATACCTCTTAACAGGTTCTGACATATGGTCCAACATACGGTCGCTCACACCATCGACCACAAACGCACTCCCTCCACCTGGAGAAGGTGTCCTCCCCCACCACCAACAGCGCAACTTCGAGATGAAGTCATTTACAACCCAGAGACCAACTCAAAAGGGCACAGATAAGATCAGATGGACCTCTGACTCCACTGGTTTCATACTTGATGAGAAGGGTTTGCAGAAGAGGGTTTCACGGTCACCCTACCCCTTTAAGCAGTTCTCCTTTCCATGTGGTACCTTACCTAAATCCAACCAACAAACCTCACTTAGAACTTCAGAACTACTCTCTTCCAGATCAAAGTATCTTCTTGGGATAACTGTCTCCCTAGAAACTTTCACCTCAGTTGCAGAGTATGACCATGAGAGCACCTAAAGGAAACTGATCAAAGTCAGAAAACAGACGTTAAGAACGTGAACCTCAAATTCATTCATTCGTTCAACACAATAGCTGCGTTTCTAAAAATCTTCATATAATCGAAATTCAATAGGAATTTTTTCAATGAGGAGGAAGGAAGACAGTCTTAGACATTCAAAAACAAAGGCATTTTTCCTGTATTGAATTTCAATAAGAATAGTGTTTTGTGTGGTTATAAGTGCAGTACTATAAAACTTAAATATGACTGAACGAATTCAGCACTGTATTATGTATAGCTTTCATTCCGGAAGATTCATCCTTGGACCTTTCTTTCTCCTTAGCACAGGCTTCTTACACATTTTCGTCACCTTTATCACCCACTGTGTGATAGACAAAGCACAAAGCCACTGGAACAAACAGGTGCCATAGCTTTTTCCACCACTGTGGTTCACAGGACCCCATGCTGGTTCCTGACCACAATTATATACATCACAGTCCATATTAATAGATGGAATCACATCCAATTTGCAACATAAACATCACAGGGGGAATGCCTGTATGTACTGCCCATTCACTAGATGCCACATACTGAGGAAAGGCAGCCCTCCTATTGCTGGGCTTGGAGAAGGATTGTGAAGTGTTATACAAGGGGAAGAATGGGATGCTATGGGAGCCCAGAAAAGATAGCAAATAGTCCCTAGTCCCTCGTCCAAGGACTTCATGAGGAAGAGACTCTAAGTTGAGATTTCAAGAACGAGGGAAAGGTAGCCAGACAGCGGGGGGAGAGAAGCTGGGTTCTAAGGAGGGGAAACAACATGTCTAAAGGCTGGAACACAAAACAGAGTATAGCGCTTGAAAGAGGAAGTGTGATAGGACCGATGTGGGGCGAATACAGGGCAACATGTGAGTGATAAGGCTTGAGATATAAGGAAGGTGCTCAAAACCTACTGATCCACATTAAAGACTCTAGACTTTATCCTGAGGACCATGAGAACCCAGGGAAGGGGTTAAGAAAAACAGAGATGTCAGCAGATTTCAAATACTAACAAATGTTCATTTTGGCTTCAAAGAGGAAAAACGTGTTGGACCAGAACAACAATCCATTTAGACAGGCCATTTAGGAGGTACATCACATGCCAAACCACCCAGCTCAGCAGAGCCACTCGTCTAAACTCAGACTTTGAGACCAGCATTCCTCAAAATTCAATGCCTAGGAAGTTGTTTCCAACCTTCCACTGGAAGAGCTATCTCCAGAGAAGAGCTACAACAGGAAAGGAACCAGGGTAGCATTGTGCCTCTCTGGTTCCTACGTGGATAAAAACCAACGCCAAGGAGCCCATCCTTTAGCAGGGCAGCCTGCTAGGTAGCAGGGATGTATGACAGAGGATGTGAAGACCCCGACCCCGGAGACTTGGATAATGGTTAGACTTTGGCCAGGCCTGAAATTCCTGACTGATCTCTCTAGGCCCTAGTGAGGGAGGTTGCCAGACATGTTTCCACCCACTGCTTCCAGGGCAGGGCTCCCTGAGAAACACACAGGTCAGCAACGGAGGGTAGAGAACTGGGCAGAGAGGATGCCACAGCCAGGAAATCGGCACAGGGTAGGTGAGCATCAAGGAATGAGGGGCAGGTGGGAGAAGGGGAAAGGGGCCCTTGGAGATAGAAAGACTGGGACTTCGACAGGAAACAGTTCCCAAGGGGAATAGTGAGCAGAAGAAAGAAAGAGCTCTTCCCAACAAAGCCATCCAGTGGACCACTCGCCAGCCTGGTGTAGAATTTGAGCTGCAGTAATCTCATTTCTTCCTTCCAGGTTGGCCCTGGGTACAAGTAGAAGAAAAGAGAGGCTGATCATATAAAAACTTGAACCGTTGTACAACAAAAAGCATTATCATTGAAATGAAAGGAAATCGGCCTAGGGAAGTAGCTCCAGCAAATATGACTTTTTAAATGGATTAATATCTAGAACACATAAAGAGCTCGTGTACATAGATTAGAAAACATCAAGACTGTCATTCGCT